TCAAGAATCGCATTAGTATAATAATTTGACTTATTACTATAATTTCAAAAAAAAATAAATCACACTAACCATTTGGTAAAGTTTTTGCTCCAAAATTCAAATATTGAAAATTATTATTATAACCTGTAGTAGGATAACATCTTAATTTAGGTCTAATAGAAAATAAAAAGTTTTTTTTATCACCGGAAAACTTGGAGTTTTGCTTCCAATCTTCATAAGCAAATCCACCGAATATATATCCATCTTTATCCTTTATTATGATATATGTAGAACCTTGATACATTGACGAATTAACAAATGCATTCCAACTTCCTCCATCAAGTGCTGATGAAAATAACAATATATGTTGCGTGCTTTTACAATCAGATGGTAGATTCTCATTTAAAATAAAATAATCTGCTGGTGATAATAATTTTGAGAATTCCATCAATTTATATCGTGAATGAATTGCTGGTGAGATTTGATTAGAAAATCGTAATTTATTCATTTCTTCCTCTGAATGATATGGAATTGTCTGGTATAAAAATAATCGATTTACGAGTATGTTGAATAAACGTTGAAATAGTAAATTATTGGTGTACCAATCCATAAATCGACCTTGATCAAAATACCCTTCTATCTCTGTTTCTTTAATAATATTGGTTAAAAGTTCGTCATCTTCTTTTTCTTTAGGTTTAATTTTTGATTTCAATATTATTAAATCAATTAGATACATATCTTCTTTAAATAATTTATTGCTTTCTTTTGTTAATTTTTTCTGCTTGGGTGGATAGTTTGATTATTGTATGTTAGGTCACAAAAGCGATATTTGTTATCATAGTATCTGTATTGATGTTGCTGACATTGTTTGTATTAAAAACAGGTGGTTTATGGATTGATTCTGATTTTATTCATGGACATTCAAAAGCCGCACCACTTTCATCAACATATGGGAACCCACGATTATCTAAACAGGAAAATTTTTTGATAGATGAAGTTGAAGGTAGGATTGATTTAATAATTTTTCTTTCAATATTTTTGTTCTTTATCATTAGTATCTAACAAGATTTTCATAAAAATAGTATGGTCAGTAAGACCAACACAAGTTGATTTGGATGAAATTCCAAAAGGTTTAAAACGTTCAGTGTTCGATAATCATCGTGAAGAGTTAGACCTTTTAGAAATGGCTACAGGTCGTAAAATGTACTCAAAAGATGTTAGGGAACCGGATGAATTATTCCCTGAAGAAGAATAACCCTTTCTAAAAGAGATATTTATTATGTCGCATGTAATATTTTTCATTAGCTCAAAGTTCTAATAAATTTGAGTGATATAAAGTAATATTGTTTTCAAATTGCAAATAAGTTTCAAGAATTAGATTATACTTTTTTTCTCAATCACAGGAATTAAAGTATTTATTCGTTAAATAAGTTATAATACTACTATAATGTTTCGGCATATGTATTTCATATACATTATGTAATAACCGAATTGCTAAAGTTCCTCTACTTGGTTGATTAATTATACTAAATTACAATTTTAATAAACGCATATAATTTTTATTTCCTTTTTTTTCATCCGTTATACGTAATTAGGAATGTCAGAAGTTACGATTATAACCATAACAGATATCGTTCGGTTAGAGATCTTTGACCGACTATTTAGAATATAACCGATTATTAAAATTAAATAATTCATTTATTGGTACATATTCTCTATCAGTGTAGTGCTTTGATCAATTGGACCCAGTAAACAGACCAATTGAGCATATTCCAATCGAAATTGGACAGTTCTCTCTCCATTATATAAAAAAAAGATTTAATATTACTTAATAATGAATAATTGAATTCGAAGTAGCGAAAAGCATTCGCATTACACGATAAACTTTGTATTTATTTGAACTATGATGGCAATTAATTTAGGCTGAAGGTTATTTTTATTGAAAGCTAGCAGAAATATTATATAGAAGCGAGTAACTGACTGAGTTGGTCAGAACGGCAATGACGTCCAGCGAAAGAGCAATCGTAATTGTTCTGGGAATCGTCGTAGGATTATTGTAGCCAAAGTAAGCCGGTTGTAAGTGAAGAAATGTATGCGAAGAAATGGGAATATAAGTGAAGGAATGATAAAATCACGTGTCTTCAACTTGAAGCGGCTGGTGGCGAATTTTCTGTTCAAGCACTTGTAGAAGTGGTTTCGTCATCTAATTCTTACCATTTTCATTATAGAACCTTCCATGCATATCGATATATATACCATTGTCATATGTTAACTTTATTGTCCTTGATCTTCCTACGCCATGATTCTCCACATGCTTTGGTCTTACCTGCGATGATGTATCGGGTGGAGGATCGTATAGCTACCTTTCTTTTTGGTTTTTCACTTCGCAGTTTGCCTGAACACGAAGTAAGATTCGTTTAGCCCAAACTGGATTCATTTTATAATCGATTCTAATTTCAATGAACCTAGTTTGTTTATTTAAACTGTATTTAAATTTACTCAGTTCAGGTTCGCTTAGATGTATTTATTCTATACATGGGGACGAAATTATTTTGGGTCTAAATCCGAAATTAAAATTTGAAGACGAAATTGTTTTGACTTGATTTTTTTACTTAAAAGACGATACTTTTTTTGAATAGACGAAATTATAAGGAATATAAATATATAAATTTTATTTGCTTATTCATATAGAAAATTTTAAATTGCTCTAATGAAGACGAAATAGGCCTTTTCAAAAATCAATTTTCGTGGCATCTATAATTTATACAAATGAACAATATTAGATAAATGCTAATCTTATACTAATATATAATAATCTGTTTAGTCATAGTATGATTTTGAATATTGACTTCTGAAGTATAATCTAGTAAAGGTTGGTCGGTTATTATCCATCGCTAATGACCGTTGTCGGTTGGCTCATGGACAATACAATGACGGACCGATAACCGACTATGACTGACTTTTTGCATTCCTAGTTATAAATAAAGAAGAGTGCAATTTAACTCAAGTAATTATTATTTCTCGGTCGAAATGGACCACTTTTAGGCATTATAAAAAAATGAATTTATTCGATCATGATACTGTATAAGCATTTTTAAAACGACTCACATAATAGTTCAACTCAAACTTAAATGGTTGATAAATGAAAACCTTAAACCTTTATAAAGATTCTAGGTTTTCGATATACATTACATTTTCCTTAATTTTCAAGTTGACAGTTTTTAAAAAAGTATCAGTGGATCTTACTTTTGTTTAGTCAAGGTAAAATTTCATGAAATTTATTCAAAAATATGATAATTGTTGATGTATTTTTTTTTCTATATTTCCAAATGTGAATACTCTTATATACAATCAATAGTAAATCTAAAACTGTGTTGAATTTCATTAAATTAAAGCAGAAAGATTCTGATGAGCGTCTTAGAGAAGGCATAATTTTGATAAATTTTATGGATACATTAAGTTATTTTACTAATCACTGTTGAAATAAAAACGAATTATGACTTGGCTTCGATTTTCGTTTTTTTAATTCCAATTTTTACAATTTACTTTGAAATAAACTACCTTACTATTTAGATCTTTCCTAGTGAATTTTAATTTTTTTTGATTTTTACATTATTGTATATTAAAAAAATTGTGATTAAATAAATTTAAGGCATTTACTGTAACATTTATGCTTAGACTTCAAGTATTTATTGCTTAGCTAATTTCTGAAATATAGCAACTGTGTTAATAGCTACAAATGCAATTTAGAAATTTAGCATTAAAATTATAACGTGCAAAAAAGTTTTGTTTTAAAACTATATTTATTATACTTGTTTGCAAAACCGATTTAAACAACAAACTTCATAGAATATAATTAAAACAATCGCAAAGTTTTAAAAAGATTCATAATGTAATGATAAATTTCATTCATAACAGGTCATAAGATCATAATCTATTATTAGCAAATAGGTCATAACAGGTCATAAGCTAGCACTAATTTAATACGATAAGAAATTTTTGCCAAAAGTCCAAAAGTGCAAGCATAAATCAAGTTTATGAATGCATCACGATTTATAGACAATTGATTCTTTATTATTGTTGATTTATTATTTGAATATAGGTATATTTTAGTAATTGAATATAAAACACCCCTAGCTTCGCACAGAAAATATTCTATTTCGTCCAATCTGGTATCGATTTGTGCAATATCTTATTTACGATACATCAAATAATTATCGTTTCCCTTGCTTTTAACAAAGGAATTCAAAGTCCTAAAGACTTTTATCTAAAAAGACTTTAAATACCCATTAAAAATTTTATTGACTAAAAGTGCAATTTCCATCTTAGTCATCTCTATAATACTGTATGAGTCATCGTCAACTATATAATTCCGCTGCGCATGTAAACCAAAATTTTTAATGGAAACTATTATATTTTGACCAAAATTGGTTTATCATTTGACTTTTGATAGTGTAGAAAGTTTAATATTCAAGTGTAAATTTGGAATGACGTACGTACGTACGTACGTACGTAATCTTACCGTTACCGTTACTGTATGCACGTACATGCGTACGTATGTATCTGGTATTACCGTTTGGATATATCCGAAAATGGTTATAAAACAATGCGATATTAAAAATAGCATACATTGCAGAAAAGTAAAAAAAATAATGCGAAGAGGCTTGTCACATTTTTTGCCAAATTAAAAATAATTGTTTCGGATTTAAAGTTTATTTATGCGATTACTCTTTAAAATCTTGGCGTTAGCAGCAGATATAGTCATATGGAATTCCTCATGTCAAAACTCCGTAGTTTTCAATTTATAAAGCGTGGAATATCGCGTCTAGGTATAGCAGATTTAAAATTTTTTCGAGTATGGATACAATGAATCATACTGATTCAAGTTCTTCACCTTCTAGCGGCTTGACTAGAAATGAGCAAATATTGATAGCACATGGTAAGAGTTTATGAAGTATTATTAATCAATAAATATTCTTACTCATACCTACAGTATATATTTCGACAATACAGTTGTTTTATCCTTAATCCCATGCCTTATCACCATCCCCCTTGGTATATTCATTGCGCGTTTTCTTCGTAGAATTTCTCTGTGGTTTCATTTACATTGGATATTACAAGTCATTTTTTCTACAATACCCATTATTGTCGGATTTGTGATTGTCCACCATTTCATGGATAAATCTCACTTTAACTGGGCTGATGTACCACATTCGGTATGTGCCTTGGTGTTTTTAAACTGATGAAAATATATTCATTCATTAAATTTAACTATTAAAATTTATAATTCAAATTTACAGGCAGTCGGACACATTATAACTTTCGTAATGGTTTTCGAAGTCATTTTTGGCGTTGTTTACAATTTTGTTGATAGACTTCATTTAAATAAGCTACGCATACTTCACAAGTAAGTACTTATGATTTTTGAACAAAAACAATATCTCAACGAAATTCTGACAAAATACTATTGTAATAAGTTATGTAGGCTACCTTACACTTATTCTTGTGATTGTAGACACTGCTCTTGGTATTATTCTATGGGAAGTGCCATATATTTGGCTTTATCTTTTTGTTGCATGGATTGTGCTGCTAGTTCTAATCTTTTTGATTGCTAACTTTAAAATTTGCACAAATAAAGTAGAAAAGGAGACTTCAAATATTTAAATTTAAATAGTTTGGAAAATTTCTCAAAGGCATTATATTATATTCGATACTTAAAGTATTAAATTTGTTATTTATATTGTATTATTATGTACTATTATGTATTATTATGCATTATTGTTATTGTTATTATTAAAAAGTTTTTTAACATATGAAGTTTAATTTATAATACCGTATTTTTGGTGTTTGATTAATGCAAATTCCAATCTAAGTAAATTTGTTTAAATATATAGAATCAATCAATATGGAAACCCTTTTTATATACGTATAGAATATAAACATTTATGTTATTATTAATATAACTGTTATAGTCCGGAGCGAAGCGAAGAACAAATAATCACGTGACAGATTTGGCATCTGTTATGGCAATTCTGATTGGCCTGATTGGCTAATTAACTGAATATATAATCACCTGATTAATGATCACTCACATGTGATGGTAAATGTTCTTTATAACGTAACTATTAAATTAGTTAAGTTTTATATAATTATTCTTTTATAATAATTATACTCATCGGAGATTGCTGATTTACCTATATTTTAATAAATCGACTATTCACCTATTTAGAAATAACATCAGAGTGTCTATGTGACAAATAATTTATTTATATAAATAAATTAATTGGTGCTTATTTGTCACTAGATAATTGGTCATACCCGGCAGCAAATGGAAGGGCCGTCTCTTGATCCCGAAATTTAATAAAAAATTAGAGCTCAGAATTATTAAATCTTATTATACTACAATGTATTACGTATGTCATATTAATTGAAGCAAAATTAACGAATGTTTAATTTTAAAGGGTATCGCCATAGCGATGTATCGCTACCCCTGATCGACCAATTAGAATGCAAAATCAGGTGTAACGTGGAATCAAACGAAACATGGTCTTTCTGAAAAATTGTCTGTAACTCAAGATTTTGCCTATGAAACCACCTCATACGCTCTAATTAAAAACATTCCTTGCAAATTTTTAGGTTAGAAACTTCTTTTCCTAAAACCACATCTAATCCTAGTCTAATACTAACCTTAACCTTAAACTAATGCATTATAATTATTTATTGTTTTGATTTTACATTACACATGATCTTATAAGTGGCGATAAATACTCATTTTTAAAAATGGAACGATACAACTTTCTGGCGCGTGAAACCTTTGATAACAATCGCTGTTTGATGGATCAAAATAAATATAATCAATGTTTAACTGTATTTAAAATTCCAACGATTTACAGAATCCAAAATTTAAATATTGGTAACTCATAATTTTAAATTTATTTATGTTGGTACAACTGAAGAAGGGACGCAAGTTCGTTCTGTTGAAAGCTTTTATGTGTAAATTTTGCTGCACATCAAGTAACGGAGCACGCTGTCAAGACAAACGTGGCGAAAGGTTCTTTTTTTATTTTTCATTTTATTTTATTTTTCATTTTATTTTATTTTTTTTAAAC